ACACTGATGTGCATCAGAATTACAGCAAGCGTCTATATCCGACTCAAAGAATATGATCAAAAAATTGAATTGAAATAATTGAATAATTGAATTGAATAATTGAAAAAATTTAAAAAAAAATGTACATATATATAAATAACCGCTGAAAAATATGTAATTGAAAAAAAAATATATATATATATATACACATACAATCGCCCAACCCTTCACTATCAATGTTGCAATGCCTAATATTTATCCACCAAATTCATTTACAGGCCCTCCTGCCCAGAGCTGCTCCTGCTACTCAGTTTGTATTCGCCTTACTATTACTTACGAGGCAAACCAAGACACCAGTTGTAGCATAACCAAAAGCCCATCGGTTATCAGCTAAACAATATAATTTCTGTTTTTCAGCATCATTTTTATAGCAATAACCACTAGTTATCAATATTTCACAATAAATTATAAATGTTGCTGTGCAACCCTTGCATTTTATAAAGTAGAATATTTTTTGAAGGCAGGAAAAACGACCTCGGAAAACAAAAAAAAAAGACTTTCAGCTGCAGATATTTGACGGGAATGGAATTCATAAAAGCATAACTTCGGGGGGATTCAAGCGGCAACAAAAAATTAACAGATTGCCTAAACATCCAAAAAGCATTTATCTTCTAGAATCTTATAAAACTAAAATTTAATGAAAAATATTTGCAAGAGGCAATTTTTTTGTGAAAACAACACAAAAATCAAGAAGTACCTTTTTCTAACAGTTTCTCAAATCCCGAATCCGAGCTTTTTTTATCACCGTTTGCGATGGGCACTTCGTTCGCAGTATTACTACTTGCTCCAGCGTTTCTACCGGAAACACGAGCATTTGTGCGTTCCTCCAGTGCTCGAAGCATCTCCTTTTCATTCTTGTCCTTCTCCTCTGCATCTGTAAAAATTAAAAACGTGCTTCTTGAGCCTCTTCGTTAGCAGAAAAAAAGCAAACGGCCAGAAACTTACTTTTCTGGATTTCATGAAACGCACAGTTATGGAGATAGCTGGTTGAAATGAGCCTGGATCCAACTTACATGCAATTTCGATTGCTTCCACCGCTTCATCCAGATTTCTTACCAGCGAAAACAGCGTGGAATAAAATTTCAGGCCTTCTTCCGCTTTCTTTGAAACATCCGTGTACACTTCGTATGCTGCAGTGAGGGCAAGTACTCGATCCATCCGGCTGCAATTTGTGGATATTCAAGCAACAATATTTTTGTATCAAAAGATATCTCTCTGCAACGCCGACAAACACCCGCATTTCTGGGTGCAGCAAAAATTTTTAATGCATCTCAACCCCTCTGAAGTACTACTTTTAGGGAACAGAACTTCAGTTACTGTAAAAGTGGAAAGAAAAGAACATTGTAGTAACGATAACAGTAACAATAATAATCAACTGAATAACAGATAATAGCTATAAATATAAATAATCAAACAATTATGACATATATATCGCAAAGATCGTTCAAAAAACTGCTGTAAAGATCGAATGGTAGCGATGCCACTGAGA